GCGGGCCCTGCTAAATCCTACAGAGACATCCAATGAGTAAGGAATAACCAGCAACCGAGAAATATAATCTTGATCTACAGCAGTGGCCCCAAAGGAGATGTTGTGAAGTTCTGATCACTGCCACTCACTGCAGTGTAGCAGGGACCACACAGCACGTCCTCAATTTCTTCACCTTCTATTCGTGGTCTTTTGGGCTTTTTTCCATCTGTGTATGTAATGGGCAGGATAAAACAAATAATTTGTATTCTTGTAAAATGGTACTTCACTGTCCATCCAAAGAAGAACAATTATGGAAGACATTGCCTTCACTCTGATGCATATTCTTCATATTCTACAATGCTTTTTCTGTGAATGTTTATTTCTCATTAAAGTGATCCTACTCTGCATCAAACCAATCAACTTTTAGTTTTAATTTCTTCTGTTGTGGATATATAATGCTTCTCTCTTTAAATGAGGAAAATTCACATCCTTACATAGGATGAGGCTCAGACTTCAAAAACACAGCTGAAATGGCCCATCTATCAGTAAAGTCAGTCACCCTTTGTTGCACTCAGTGAACACATTTGGGAGCAGGAATCCTCCCTCCCCAGCTGGCCTGGGTTACAGCAATACTGCTATGTTTAGAAAAAAAACCCACACTGAACTTCTGTTCCCCAATGAGCCACTTGAATGTCTTTGCTGAGCATAGCAGGAGCAGAGCCGGTGGCTCAGCTGAGGCTGGATCAGGGGAGACCTGATCGCCCTCTACAACTACCTGAAAGGAGGTTGTAGTGAGGTGGGGATTGGGCTCTTCTCCCCGGTAACTAGCGACAGGACGAGAGGAAATGGTCTCAAGTTGCGTCAGGGGAGGTTCAGGCTGGACATTAGAAAGAACTTCTTCACTGTTAGAGTCGTTAGGCATTGGAACAGGCTCCCCAGGGAGGTGGTGGAGTCATCGTCCCTGGAGACGTTCAAAAAACGTCTAGATGTGGCACTTCAAGACATGGTTTAGTGGACAGGGTGGCATCAGGTGTACGGTTGGACTTGATGATCTTTGAGGTCTCTTCCAACCATAATGATTCTATGATTCTATGATTCTATGGATTCAAAGCAGATTATGGGGAAAAGGGTGGCAGATGAGGCCCTCGGGTGGGAGGATGGCTCCTGAGTCAGAAGTGATTTAGGGAAGTGGAGAGAGGGTAGTGAAGAGTATTAGCACAGAGCTGATGAGAGGGAGAGGATTGGAGGGGCTGCAACAAGGAAAAGAGCTCTTCAGAGGTGGGTAGACTATCTAACGGACCTTTTAGATGAGGAATATCTCATCATTGCATCATCGGGAAGAGAAATATCATTTTTATATATTTCTATTTCTACTATTAGTAGTATTACTCTTAATATTATTTATATTCTTTTCACTGTTATTGTTTTATTAAAGTTTGTTTTAACTTTCCAACCCATCAGTCTCACTCCATTTTATCCTCTCCTTCCCCTTCTGGGAAAGGAAGGGGTCAACAGAGAGCATCTGTCACCCATTTTCAGCACTGGCCTCAGCCTTAAATGGTGACAGAACCTGAAGTTCAAAGAGATGAATCAAAGACTTACCTGGAAGAAATTTTTACTGAAGTCTAAAGTTTTTAGGAAAGAGTTTAAAATCAGTAATCTAATGTTTCATTTCTCTACCACTACTAATCTGTAACCAGTGGAAGTACAACCAAGAAGCCAAGTTCTTCAAAAATGTCAAGAATCTATATCTGGAAAATGGTGAGGACAGGACAGTAGTTCCCTCTGTGCTGAGGGCTTCACACCACTTTTCTACATTTGAAACCCCTGATTTTTTTGGGCAAGACATTCATCTACACAGTTTAAACTGTTACTGACAGCTGCCCTAGTTAGATATCTCCAAAGACAAATAACAAGGGTGAAAGCGTGAGAAAAGAACATCAGAACATGGCAACTTTGATGTGATAAACTTTTAATGATGGTGAGAAAGGAATACATTTTCAGAGTCTCCAGAAAATATGAAACTGTTCTCCAGTCAGGGATGCATTCACATATGTTTTTTTTTTTTTTTTTTTTTTTTTTTTCTTCCTGAGCCTTAGTTTTTGATTTGAACATATAGGAACCATTCTGAGCAACTTTGTTACATGAAAAACTGAAACTGAAAGTAGAAGTTAAGAGAAGAAATTCAGAAGGGGCTGAAGGGGTACAGCACTGTGGTCTTGGAACAGAGCAGTGGAGGTTCACACCTCTTTGGCTGTGAAACCATCACGTTTCATTTGTTGGTTATACCTCACTTGGAATGTCTCTGTAGGATTTAGCAGGTCGGCTGTCCTTTGTTTAGCCGTAGGAGTAACGGTTGCAATAGCCAACACCATAGGGTCTACCATAGCCATACAGACCCCTGTAACCCAGAGAGCCCCCATAGCTGTACAGACCCCCATAGCCCCCAAGGACGGGTGCTCCAGAGGATCCCACAACTGAATCCTGGGGAAAGGAGCTGAGGATGGGGCCAGGGAAGGTGACAACGATGGGAGGTGGCTGGATCACAATCGTGGAGTCAGGGCACTGATGGACGCATGGCTCGTTGCAGCTGTTAGCGAGGGGCTGGGGGCGGTTGATGCCAC